CTTCAATAATGGAAAGTTGAGTGCAGAGCTGACGACCTCGTGCCAATGTGTTTTGCGATTTTTCCAGTCCATGTCTCTAAGTATTGCGCCTGCCACGAAAAATTGATGCCAGGTCATACGAAGTGCTGCACCTGTCACGCAAAATCATCTTAGCAAACCGACAGATCTGATGCTCCAAAATGCAACCCCTCTCAGGAAATCAGCGCCCTGACCGCCTAACATCTCTGATGAACATGTCTTTTGTACTGCGCCTGCCACCCGAAATGCATCTTTGCAGATCCTCTTCAAATGCAGAGAGAGAGAGAGAGAGAATCAAATCATTTTTTGCTGGGATTTGTTGGGATCATTTATCATCATTTATCCTTCCATCAGTTGCACTGTTGCACCTGCGTCTTGCGCAACCATTCACAAGATTAAGAAGCCGGGACATCCTGAACAGGCTCTTTTTGAGTGACGGATCAAAAACACATGTCCACACTCGAAAGGAAATTTGTCCCTATTTTGAGGAAAGTGTTGCAGGTCAAGCAAAATGTGGTTGTAAAGGTCAGCCGCTTCAAAGTGCGGTTTGCAACAAAAGGCAAGCTAATCTTCAAGCCAATCTTCCCTCGGCAGTGGGTAAAGACGCCAGCAAACATCAATCTATCCGGCAAGGAGGAATCATCAATTACTCTCGTTTCTTGGTGCTCTGTGCTTCAGCTTTTCTGCACTGGCTATTCCCCGTAACTGAACCAGTTCATCAAATATGTTGTGCATGCAGTTGACCAGCACGTCATGATGCTATGGTTTTGTTGCAGCTTGAGTCCTCATTTGAATGGTAATGCTGCACAAGCAGCATTAGTAATGCTGCTTGTGTTTTGCGCTTGTGTTTCGCCATAGAAAAAGATCCGTTTATGCAGTCCGAAATCCACCCAGCTTCAGCAACGTTAACAAAGTTAGGCCAAAGCTCCAAAAATGTTGCGTGGATACCGAAGATTTTGGCATCGTCAGCAAGCCCGGCTGGGTGCATATTTCGGAAGTGTGTAAGTTGGGTGACTGATCGCGCATAGGATCCAAAAAGCGCACTCTTAGACTCTTAGTCCTTACCCAGTGGCAGACTGAAAGCCTATAAACGACTATAGGATCAAGAAGGATCAAGTGAGTACGTAATATCCTGCTGATGTGAGTGGTCCCGCTTCATCTATCCCAAGACACCCTGTGCTCCCAACTGTTCCCTTCCTCTGAAAAGGGGGGAGCTGTCGACTCTTTGTAAGGCTCCACACCTTGCCAAGTCGATCATCTCAAGCGACACAACCAAGCTGAAACCAATCTGGATCAACTCAGCCGATGCCATCAGGTACCAGATACATCCAGATACCCAAAAAATCGAATCACAAACCCATATGGTCTTGGGAAGGGACGGAGGCCCACTGGTCGGGATGCTTCCTCCTGAAAGGAAAACAAGTATCACCAAGATCTCACCATATCAAAAAAATAAGTATTGAGGGCTCAATCGTTGATCGTCCATTCTATCCATTCTGTCTATTCTCCTCTGTCTTTGGCACTTGAAGAAACACTGGCACTCGAGGCCGGGCCTGCCAACGGATCTGCCGAAATTGCGAAGGCAGGGTGCAAACCGGATTCAGATTTGTGATCTGTATAGATCTGTGCTGCATGTTGGAAGAAATGACAGGTAAAGAGGGATGAGAACCCTGCACCTCCAGAAACGCTTTGCGACAATGTGAGCCATGGAAAACAATTTTGTATAAAGAGGCTATCTGTCAAAGTTTTGAACGGAGCCAAGGGCCAAGAGATGACCATTTTTTCAGTATGCACTGACTAACAAACAACATGCAACATTACGCCAACCGCCGCCTGCTCACTGCCTGCTTTAACAATCGACATTGCCAATGTATTCGGAGTCATGAGAATTCTCATTCAAACAGAGTTCTTGCCTCCAAAGACAAAGGAGCCAGAACTTCGAGTCGACGAAAACAGCGGTGGCCGGATAGCACTGGCCTCGATAGATTCATTATTGCAGGGTTCCCAAAAAATGGCAACACATGGCAACATGCAAAGTACATCAAATGCGGGAAAATTATAGAACATATGCAGAAATTGTGTCAACATGTGTCAACATCAGCCTTTCGTCACTCCGTCTGACTTTGAGATCCCTGCCCCAACACGCGATGAGAGCTATCAAGTGTTGGATCTGCACCCAGAGTCAATGCCAACCTAAGTAACAGGTCAGTCATCTGGTTGAAGGCTGTGACAGAAGGCTGTGACAGAACAAGTAGTAAGAGCCATGAGAGATACGCTATGCTTTTGAAACAGATTGTCGGTACCGGCAAAGTTCGACTTTCCGAGTTGAAGCTTTTGTATTGCCATGATTTGCCACAGCATTCACGATAAGGATCTCTAAGGCTGCAGCCCTGTCCCACGCCTTGGCGCTGAAAGTAAGCCGGCCTTAGAAATACGTCAGGTTTGGCGCTACATGGCACTACATCTTCCGCACCATCGCGCGGAGCCATGCATACTGCAATGCATTGCGATACTCTAAGTCCTTGGATGCGCCTTAATGTGCCGCATACGACGGTTTTGAATTATTGAAGAATGCTATCAAGAACTCGGAAAACTCGTTTCTGGCACTTCCACAGTCAAATGGCTAGAGGTGAGGGGTTGACCACGTGACTGCCCTCCTAAAGGTCATGAGGCGACCGCGCTTTCAGGAAATCAAGGCTTGGTTCGGCATCTATGCATCAAAATGTTTGCTCCAAGTCTGCGCACTGGCCACTAGCTTTTTGCGTCATGCGGCACTTGGATCAATTTCTGATGAGGAATGCTCTCAAGTCTGACATATTCTGACCAGAATCGTTAAAAGTTTAAAATATTGTGAAAATAGTGGTGATCCTTGCAGCCATCGTCGTCTCTCCGCCAGGAAAGTACCTATGAAAATGCCTTCCAGACCTCGACTGCTTTCTTACTAAAAAGATCTAGGCGCTTCTTTCAATTCAGGCTGTGTAATCTGCTTGCACAAAATTTCAGTTCCAGAACTGAAGACAAGTCAAGCCCGCGACACAGCAATGCAAGCCTGCGCTTTGGAAGCCGTTCGCCACTGGCTCCAGCGCCTTGCTGCGGACCCGTTGGACATGCTCATTCTCTCAGAGGCTGCGAAACTTGGCACGACATGGCATATAATACGACACAGTGCATTTTTCCAGCTATATGAGGTTCCACTTGGGATCAATCCAGCCAGAGTGTCAGAATGCTTCGTCCGACATCTGGAGACGTGATCACCGATACGTTGAATTAGGACAGGTCAACATGCAGGAGATTGTGGACTTTGAGCAGTCACGTCAAAACGCCGAAGGAAGGTTTCCAATACAAAGCGACATGTTTCTTCTGAGTAGGATCTAACCATTTACCAGGATTAGACCGGGAACACTGGAGGAGAAAGGCCAAGACTTTAGCAGGGAACATGAACTTCTTATTAGATAGACGCTAGCCACCGGAATGAACCCAAATTCAGGCAAATGCAGCGATGATATTGCACGAATTGGGATATGATTTGCTTTCACAAGAGTCTCACAACGAAAACTTGAAAACGCCTAGCTAACTTACCAAGGGTTAGTTCACTTTGAATCCACCCGGGCTGCAGACCATGGGTAGCAACAAAATCCCCCTCACAGGGACAAAGCGGTGGGGAGCAGAAAGGTAGCTAATCAGAGTTCTTGCGGCAAGTTGGGAGATCCTGTTACGACCAGATGTGATAGACGATAAGTCATGCAATCTTCCATCCGGCCCCAAGACCCTGGGAAGACTGCGCAACCTATGGAATTTGATGTAATGAACAGCGAGTGTTTGCCTAAGATGTTCAGGGATCGGGTCGCCACTGCTTAAAATGTTAAGGAAAGAAGTTTCCACTGAGCCAGGTTTGATCACTTCCGACCAAATGCGGCGCGTGCCTGTGCACGCTGAATTTTTTGACCGCACGCGACGTAGGGGTACACAAGACCCCGGCGTCGCAGGCCATTATACGGGGGGACTTGAAAAGCTCCAGATCATCGTGCGCGAAATGTTCAGTTCGTGACATCAGCGTAGTGACCAAATGAACTTGTAGCCCAACTGCCTGGGAAATGAGATCGCAAAAACAAGCAATTTTAACTCGGAGTTTCTCTTTGGCACAGGACTTGGCTAACGCATCTGCGCGGCAATTTCCGTCAGTTAGGTACTGGCACTGCTGCACATGGTTAGACACATGGGCTTTGGCTTTTCGAAGTGAAATTGTCCCTTGAGCAAGAACCTGCCCCATCTTTTCCCATAAATCGGCATTGTCTAATTGACCCAGCACTGACGGTGAGACGGTGAAAAATGACAACCCACCAAGCGATTAAATCCATTCAAGACGTTCATGCAATCGGTATATACTGTAAGATCACCCCAAGAGAGGCCAAACAATACAAGAGGGCATAAATCTCAGCTCTCTCAGAGCTTTGGTCACATCCCGGGAGAACCGCCCACGACGATGCCTTAGGCGCTTCCACTGGTAACAAACCGGCTGCCATTTCTTGTGTCCCATCACCTGCACCAAAAGAATTTTTTGCAGTGGACGCGCTGATTGCAAAATCACACAGAAACCGTGGCTGGCAAAGCAGACATGTACCACACTTTTTCTGCGCATGTTGGCCGAAGGGCACAACGAAAATTGGACGGAAAGAAATGCGTCCGAAAAGCGTGGTCAAATATCACGGCTTTGGCCCAAGAATTATGTAATTGTTGGCGCGTCACTTGGCTTGAGCTTTGCACAAACACTGCTGGCTGCATAGCGTTCCACCAAAAGCTTTGAAGAATGAATCTTAGCTACTCAAAAAGGAACATAACAGATCTTGTGCCAAAGTCGGGACGCATGGCCTGTTCTCCGACTCCAATGAACCTTTGAAGCTGCCCAGCTCTCTGTGGCTCAATGCATGCCTATAAATATATATATATATTCTATACAGCAAGATACAATAAGCTACTAATATGTGCGAACCATGTGCGAACCCTGGCAGGCTGCAAATACTCCAGGAGCTTTGGGAGCCGAAAAAAAAATCAGAGCTGGTTTCTCAGCAGGCTGGACTTGATGGAAGAGATGCGCATGGTATGTTTGCAGAGTAGGGCCAGCAGCTTCTGAGGCAGCAAAACCAAAGCGGCAAATTGTGCAGATTTGGGAAAATGTTTTGCAGATTTAGCAAAACGTGAAGCCAAATTGACACTCTTTTGCTTCGGCTCGCTGCGAAACAGCGCCAGATTCTCAACTTTCAGTTGTATGGGTCCCAGCCGTACCTTCCATAACCACCATAGCCACTTTGTCCTTCTCTACGCTTGCCCTTTGAACTCTTTCCGCCTTTTCCGCTCTTTGAGTGGTCCTTTCCGTTCCTGGGGTGCCGGGATGGTTTTGGCATATTAACATCCACATCTCCTGTATTATAGGTGTGCAGTTACATATAGAATCATGAAGCTACGTACATGGGTTGTGAAGTCACTTGGGGTTACTGCAAAGGCAAGGCGGCCGCTCCCTCGTTTTCCATTCCGGTACATGTTTTGACCATTGACCCAGTTTTCCAATGCAGCACTTGGTTTTTTGTTTTTTTTCTACCGTTGCAACTTTCACCTGCCTCGTTTTTTTCCAGACCAATCTTAAACCTCATTCCAGGTTTAAAACAGAAACGATGTCCACTCGGAGACTACAGTACATTTGCATACATGTGCACCAATAAAAAACCGTTGCCCACATGTTGAAACCACTTTGCATCCAAGGTGCGAGCCACCTTCGTAATCCCAGGAGTCATGCTTGTATCTGTCCTTCCCCTGCACTCAACCCAACAAAGTAAGGTATAGTGATAAGTATATAGTCGATGCTCTCCACAAGTTCAAAAGGGGTGAAGAATGGTTTTAGGATTTTTCTTGATAAGGTTGTTGTTTTTGGCATGCGGCTGATACGGCGCCCTTGGAAGGGTTGCCAATTTTGAGATGTGCCATTTACGATCCCTTGGAAGGGTTGCAAATTTCAAAAATGAGGCTTGCTGAAATGGGGGTATAGGATTTGATTTTTTTGAGTTTTTATCATGTTGCACATGCTGTGGTATGATCATCAGGGGGGGTGGGGGTGGGGGGTGGGAGGGGTGTATTAACGTTCTTGACGAGCACTTCCTTTACGTTACGGAAGATGCACACGTTGCACATGCTGTCGTATGATCATCAGGGGGGTGGGGACTGGGGGGCTGGGGGGTGGGGGGGTGTATTCATGCTCTTGACGAGCACTTCCTTTACATTACGGAAGATGCGCACGTTGCACATGCTGTCATATAATCATCAGGGGGGTAAATAATTTTCGAGACTAACAGAATATCTTTACTAAGACTTATCATTTTCGAGGTCGTTTGTGGGGTAAATCCTATGGGCCCGATGGCTCAACATGGGCCCGACTTGGCCCAACATAAGCCCAAGATAAGCCCAAGATGGCGCAACATGGGCCCAACATGGACACAACCTGCGCTCAACATAGGCCCAGACTGCTTCCATACAGGCAAGCACTGCGCATCATGCCTGCCTCAGTTCAACATAGCCCTCCCTGGGTTTGCACGGAGAATCTCGGCCCAATCTTCCCACACCATAAGCCAAACGTCGTTGCTTGGCCGGCGCCCAGCTGTCAGGCCTAAGCCTTTAAATCCGCGCGCCGGCCACGAGGCCAGCCCGTGTCCTTGCCGGAGGCCTTCGGTGGTAACCGAAGGTTATAGGCACTGCCGCCCCTGCCGCCGACCCACCCCGTGTTCACCCCGGGGGACTCCGTGTCAACTGAAGCCCCTGTAATTTACGGTGTATGTGTGATGTTCAAAAACATCGTTTTTTTTTACGGTGTTTCGGGCCCCTCGGCGATGTTCCACAAAAAAACAAAAGGTGTACAACAAAAGTACACTTGGGCCTACAGCTGGACATGGCGTCACAACGCTGCCTTGTTGCAGACTGTGGCACCTGCGTTGCCACAAGCGCTCTGGCACCGCTAGCGTCAAGAAGAGGAAAAAACTGGAAGAGTGAATGCCGCCCTGATATGATTCGGTTTTGACCCTTGAAGAGCAAAATCGAGTAACCGCGCAGGCGAAACGCAAATTTTCACTCTTGAGTCACACGCCTGCCAATCGAAATGAATGTCCATGTTGCAAACATTTTTTGACGACTCCTGCAAATACCAGCATTTTTTCTTACCCTCAAAAATCAGAATTTCAAATCTGTCACCCTTACAAGGGCGCCGAGTCAACCGGCTGCCTTGTTTTTTATTTCTTTCCTGGTACCATTTGCCTTGTATTTGCAACAGTTTGGAACTAGAACCTGTCATTTTGCATGGTATTATTTGCTATATGTTGGTAGCTCAAACGTTCATGTGGGTTTCTTTAAGGGCATGACTTGGCCCAACATAAGCCCAAGATAAGCCCAAGATGGCGCAACATGGGCCCAACATGGACACAACCTGCGCTCAACATAGGCCCAGACTGCTTCCATACAGGCAAGCACTGCGCATTATGCCTGCCTGGTTCAACATAGCCCTTCCTGGGTTTGCGCGGAGAATCTCGGCCCAATCTTCCCACACCATACGCCCAAAGTCGTTGCCAACATGGTGCCAAGATTGCTTGGCCGGCGCCCGGCTGTCAGGCGTAAGCCTTTAAATCCGGGCGCCGGCCACGGAGCCCGTGTCCTTGCGGGAGGCCTTCGGTGGTAACCGAAAGTTTTTTTTGATCTGACGCTCATCGTTGGCTCAGCCGGACTACTCGGCCCTCCATTTCATCCTAGTGTGGGCTTGAAAGCTATTGAATGAGGACTTGCTTCAGAAATATATTCCTTAGGTTTTTTGAAACATATTTGTTGGAAATAGACGGTTTTTTTGGGAGCAAGTGAGTTCCCGAAAGCTCCTGCGAAGGGTTTTCCTAAAGAACTGCTCCCAATTTCAACTTGTTACTTCGTGTAAAGGCGCCTCTGTGCAAAGACTTCTCTGTGTAAAAGCTTTTGTGCGTAAGAGTTTCTGTAAAAGTTTCTCTGTGTAAAGACTTCTTTGTGTAAAAGCTTCCTTCTGTGTGTGAAAGCTTCTCTGTGTGAAAGGGCGTCTGTGTAAAGATTTCTCTGTCTGTAAAAGGCTTCCGTGTGTAAAAACTCTCTGTGTAAAGGCTTCTCTGTGAAAAAGTTTCTGTGTGTAAGCGCGTCTGCGTGGTAAAGCTCTCTGTGTAAAGACTTCTTTGTGTAACAGCTTTTGTGTGTAAAAGCTCCAAGACGTTTGTGTGCAAAAGCTCCTTAGAGGAAAGACTTCTCTGTGTAAAACCTTCTGTGTGTAAAAATCTCCTCTGTGTAAAGGCTTCTCTGTGTAAAAGCCCCTGTGTGTGTAAAAGCTTGCTGTGTGTAAACGCTTTTGTGTGTAAACGCTCCTCTGTGTAAAGGCTTCTCTGTGTAAAAGCTTCTGTGTGCAAACACGTCTGTGTGTAAAAAAACCTCTGTGTAAAGACTTCTTCGTGTATAAAATTCTGTGTGTGAAAGCTCCTGGGCGCTTGTGTGCAAAATCTCCTTTGAGTAAAGGCTTCTCTGTGTAAAACCTTCTGTGTGTAAAAAGTTCCTTTGTGTAAAGACTTCTCTGTGTAAAGCCCCTGTGTGTGTAAAAGCTTCTGTGCGTCTCCTCCCTCCAGCTTTCTTTCGGGTCACGCTGTCGTCCAGTTGCAATCTGCAACGTTGTTTCTTGCGGAAGAATGCAAAGAACATGTGAAAGCATCGCGCGTTTAAAAAAATGAACATAAACAGCGCACAAAGTGCTGTAATTTACAACATTTAGCGCTGTCAGATGGCAAGAACCCGCGTAAATACCACAGTTTTAGTCCCCGAATGTGGCTAAAACAATGTTATTTACATGGTTTCGTTCACGTCACGATCTTCGATTTTTTGAGAAAACGCGTAAATACTGTCGTTTTTTGCGTTCGTCAAGACAAAAAAAAAAGTTCAAAAAGTGCAAAAAAAGATATAATTTACAAGGGTTTGGCGCCGTCACGGGTAAAAAACTGCATAAATACCAGCGTTTGCGCATCCAAAAGTTGCCAAAACACCGCTATTTACAGTGTTTCGTGCCCGCCACGTTTTCTTGAAAGTGTAAAAACCTTGTAAATACCAGCATTTTTTGCGATCAACCCGCCAAAAATGCTGTAATTTATAGTATTTTGGTGCTTTGCTTTCAAAAACACTGGTGTTTGCAGTGTTTTGTGCATCTCTGGTTAGTATTTGCAGCATTTTCTGCGTTTTTGCATGGCTCCCGCAAAAAAAAAAAAACTTTAAAACGCAAAAATGTTGTAATTTACAGCATTTTGTCAATTTCGAAAAATTAAAAATCGTCCGAAAAATGTGTCAAAACGGCACTTTTTTCCCATTTTAGGTACCCCCCAAATGTGAGGGGGGATTATGCTCTTGGAGACGCTTCTGAGCGACCCGGATTCCGTCCAAAAAGCTCCCCCCCCAGCAGAGTGAAGGATTTTTGGTGTTTTTCGGGGTCCGGGGTCGGAGGGTCGGCGGTTTGGAGCACGCCTCACCATAGAGCTCTAGTCGCTCTGGGACGCTCGTGACGCATTTGTCAGCGTACCGTCGGAGCCGATTTAAGCGCTTACGCGCGACAGCCGGCCAGGGGCCCATGTTAAGGTGATAGGGGCCGAGCAGGGAGCAAGAGCTCAAGGCTATGTTGCCCCATCGGGACTAGGTGGGCGGCGGTTGCAGGGGTCTTTGGGGCGGCATGGGTTGTGGCTGGCGTTGTGGTTATTGCTGTGGAGGTCGTTGTTGTTGTTGTTGTTCTTGTTCTTGTTCTTGTTCTTGTTCTTGTTCTTGTTCTTGTTGTTGTTGTTGTTGGTGGTGGTGGTTGTTGTTGTTGTTGTGGTTCTGGTTCTGGTTCTGGTTCTGGTTCTGGCTCTGGTTGTTGTTCTTGTTCTTGTTCTTGTTTTTGTTTTTGTTTTTGTGGTTGTTATTCTTGTTGTTCTTGTTGTTGTTGTTGTTGTGGTTGTTGTGTGTGGTTGTGTGTGGTTGGTGGTTTGTCGTTTGGGGTTTGGGGTTTGTGGTTTGGGGTTTGCGATTCGTGGTTGGTGTGTGTCATTTGTTGTGTGTTGTTTGTTGGGTCTTTGGGGCGGCATGGGTTGTGGCTGGGGCTATGTTGGCCTATCTTGGCCCATCTTGGGGCTATGTTGGCCTATCTTGAAGGCAATTTGGGCCCATCTTAGGGCTATGTTGGCCCATCTTGGGGCTATGTTGGCCCATCTTGGACCCATCTTAGGGCTCTTGGGGCTATGTTGGCCCATGGCCGGATATGCGCTGCCGCCCCTGCCGCCGACTAAGATCGTTTCAACATAGATGGCCCAAACATGGCCCCAACATAGCTCCCAAGATGGCTCAACATGGGCCAACGTAGGCCCAACATAGGGCCAACATGGTGCCAAGATTGCTTGGCCGGCGCCCGGCTGTCAGGCGTAAGACTTTAAATACTTTGCCCAAGAGATCCCAAGAGCACACTGTACTACAATAGACAGCGCGTACTTGTGTAGGTGGCAAATGTTTGCACCATCTCATACATACACATTGTAGCAGCATTGTAGCATGTGCAACAAAATCGTCTTTGCCTCATGAAGTAGCCTGCTAGTTGTTCATCACTGACGAAGAGACTTGACTTGAGGCCGATTGGCCAAAATATATAAAATATGCAAATATCGAATGTGATCCGCGGCAGCGTTGGCTGAGAACACTAACGCTGCCTCGACACACATGCACATTTCAATTCGCGCTCAATGCAAGAGCAGACTGCGATCCTAAAGACAAATCCAAACAACGATGTCAAAGCAGATCAAACCACCCTGTTGCACTTCGTTTGCTTGAACAGAATTTGCCAAGGACTGCTGCTGTAAGGAGTTCGTGTCCCCCAAACACACCTCCATACATATACACACAAACACAGCGGTTCACATATTTGCTTACCCCTTGGACTCTTGACTCAGAGCATGGTGTCGGTTGAGTTTGAGAGCTTTCATCTACGCCCTTCAATGTACAGTGCTGCAGCACACCAGCACCAAAGTATCCACCGATAGAACAATACACAAAACACAACAAAATACAACAGGTAAGTAACTTCTAAGTAGCAGGTAGTCTCGGGATGTCTGGGGATGTCTGGTGAAGTCTAGTGAGGTCTGGTGAGGTCGGGCCTGGCTGCCTTTGCCTTTGCCGCCTTTGCCTTTGCCTCGGCTGAAAACACGATAAGTCTGCTAGAAGGTCTTCGTCAAGCATCTACAACGTCTGTTGGTCAATTGCAGTACGAGAAAGAAAAATATGGGAGATGCAAAACTACTCTAACCGAGTAGCACCCAACATCGAGCAGTGGAAACATTCGTCTCTTGTCTCTGCCCAACACATTAAACCAATTTTCCCAGCTTCTCCATTTTCCATCCAGGCACCTTTTTTCCCAGTCCCTTCAGAAACGTCTGGACAGACATCAGCAGCCTGCTCAAGGGAGTTTCCGGTCACCAAATCAACAGAAAGGAAGCATCTTCCCCTCATTTTCGCACTAGAGGACCTTTGAAAAGTATGCCGTGCCTCTACCCCACAGCCCACCCACTTGAAACTGTACCTTATTCAGAACTTATTCACCTTGTTTCCACCTTGTTTCGTATCAGCTGCCAACTGCCTTCGGGGTTGCTTCCTTGAGCAAAGCTGCCAGACTCTCTGCTGCAGCAAATCCACTCCTCAGATCTGCTAAAGTCTCCGCCATCGCAACCCCATGGATTCTCAAAGTCACCAAAAGGAAAGCTAGCAGCATCCCATGTAAGGTCTACATATATAGATTCTATATAATATATATAGTATATATACGTATTACATATATATTATAGTATATATATACGTATTATATATATGTAATTGTATATATGTAGTATTATATACAATTATTTATAATTTGGGGATAAAGCTCTTCAAGTGATCAAGTAGAGCGCTTCAGCTTGGGCTCTGCACACAGCCGCTAAAACTGGAGTGTGTAAAATAGTCGCCAGCAAGTAGGAGTGGTGGACTGTGGCTCACGACCATGTAGGGTCCGTCCGATGACACCTCAGAAATCAGTAGAATCGCAGAATCCAAGAACGTCCATTACCAAGACACATAATGAACGCGAACATGAGAACTGTGTAGACTAAACTATGCTATAACAGCTAAGAGTGTGCTTAAACGTCACAAGGGGCCAAGATTGCTTGGATATTCAACACTGCACACCCCTTCATCTAGCAGATCTAGCCTAGCTGTATCTGCGCTTACTTAGACGTGACATGTCAAACAAAGCTGACGACATGCTGACAGCTTGAACACAGAAATCAAGTGTCCGTTCAGTCAACTCCAATGTGCAGCCAATGCACTGGCCTTTCAACCTGACTTTGCTTCCACGTAATGACTTTGGAAACGCTTGTCAACTTCGAGAGTGGGCCTGTCCAAAGTTTGGACCAAACACACGTTCAATCAATTCCATGGTGTAGTGTCTATCAAGGCAAGAAATTCATGAATAGAGTACTGCAGAGCATAGAACGAGAGGGACTTGACCCCGTGGCAAACAAATGGTAATTCTGCTGCAAAGCAATCACGGCAAAAGCAAATACCCTCACAACCTGCATCACAGCACCACCAGGACTGTGTCGAAAGATTCAATGGTGCAGCGACCACCAGCACAAAACATCAGTCTATCACAAGACATTAGAACATCACATCATTCTTCCTCTATGACGGCGATAAATATGTTTTGCCAGACTGCTACCATAACCGTATTTTCAAGGGGCCGGCAGGGGCCCCTACTACTCATAAACACATTTCAGAAAAATTATGGCGCACGCCCTCTACACCCAGTCGGGAAAGTCAGTGCAACGTCTATTAGTCGGGAAAGTCAGTGCAACGTCTATATTTGAAAACAAATCCCAATGGGACGCTGCGCATTCAGGAAGTCACAGAAGTCAATGCAAAATTATGCAAATCAGCATGGGACGCTGTGCGCCACCAATCCCCCTCATCATTTCAACACAACCACATCTCCAAATTTCAAAAGGGGAAAACCCAACACAATCCAATTCCCAATGGAACTGACACATTAGGAATGTTCCAAACCATTTCTTCCAAAACACCAGCTGGGCAGCTGGACGCAGCACGCACCGACTTCCAGAAATCTTTCCCCCCAACTAGACGCAACAAAGCAAGTGAACGCATTGAGTTTCCAAATGGGGTGTACCAGATCACAACATGCATCAAAACTTGAGCTGGGACACCAGCGCTGCTGAATCACAACATGATCGAAGCACAAAACTGAACAGAACACAACATCCAGCACGACATGTCAGTGCCTCTAAGGGCCACTCGGGTCCTCTATCACGATTTGCAGGACAAGCGACATCACCTAGAAACCTAATGACACACTTTACCTACGCAGCTCCAACACCTGCCATTGTGGAATTAGATGAATGGGCAGAGTGCAAAGACGACATAACAGTATGTAAAAGCAACACGCAGTAACACCACACGACCAAGACTAAAAGCAAGCCAAGACACCTCCCATACACAGGAGAAACCCTCCAAGGCTACAGCTGAAGACTGGATCGTGTTTTTGTTTGACTGCAGAACACAACATAGGCTGAGCTTGCAAAATTGTGAGGTCAAAAAACCGTCTTTCCGCCTTCCAAACCAATGAGCTTTTGAACACATGCAGCCACTTCCTTCAGAAGCCGTTCATCTTTTCCACCTCGCTGTGCATGGAGCTTGGCCCACTCTTTGGTCGTATGCGCCACCAGAACCAAGCCCCCGGACCTGCACTTAAACTCCACAGAGGATTTGGGTACGAAAGCAACGAAGACAACACAAGCATTTTAAAAAGCACAGCATCAGAATCCAGCTGACAAAGTTTTGATGATTGCCAACTCCCAGCTGTTTGCAAACGAACACTGCTGAGCACAAGACGCAGCTTTGCTAGCAATCTCTGTCTTACGAGACTGATAGCACAACAAGTGGAGGACATCATCATCAACCACCTTCCTGAGATCAAGAGCGGCATGGTGTGTAAAAAACTGTTGGCAGCTCTGCATTGGAGAGAGTTGCTCGCGGCAACGAGCAGAGTGACTGGAGCGAGCAAGAGTGAGACTGCTCTGGCGGGAAAGTTGGTAATAGAGTTGGAAGAGTCAGTAGGAAAATGAATCGAACCAAGCACTATTACAGTCATAATACGGTCACTACACATTATACATATCTGTCGTTTTCAAACGTACATGAGGGCCAAGTGAAGCAGAAAGAAAATAGTCAGGGAAAAAAGTACCTTGGGCACCAAACAACGAGAAAAAAAAACATAAAAAGGCCGTTCAGAGTACGAATCAGCACGATTGCACAGTGTATATACATATAATGTGTATGCATGTATGCATGTATGCATGTATGTACGCATGCATGGATGCATGCGTGGATGGATGTATGTATGTATGGTATGTAGGTATGTATGTTTGTTTGTATGTATGCATGTATGTATGTACGTACGTATGTACGTATGTACTGTATGTACTGTCTGTATTGTATGTATTGCATGTACTGTATGTATTGCATGTATTGTATGTATTGTATGTATTGTACGTGTTGCATGTAATGTATGTATTGTATGTATTGTATGTATTGTATGTTTGTATGTTTGTATGTTTGTATGCATGCATGTATGTATGTATGTAAGCATGTATGCATGTATGCATGTATGTATGTATGTATTGTATGTATTGTATGTATTGTGTGTATTGTGTGTATTGTGTATTGTGTGTATTGTGTGTATTGTCTGTATTGTCTGTATTGTATGTATTGTACGTATTTTATGTATTGTATGTATTGTATGTTTTGTATGTTTTGTATGTTATGTATGATATGTATGTTATGTATGTTATGTATGTTATGTGTGTTATGTGTGTTATGTATGTTATGTCTGTTATGTCTGTTATGTCTGTTATGTATGTTATGTATGTTATGTATATATGTTATCTATGTTGTGTATGTTTTGTATTTTGTGTATCTTGTGTATGTCATGCATGTTATGTATTGCTATGTATGTTATGTATGTTATGTATGTTATGTGTGTTATGTGTGTTGTGTGTGCGACGTATGTTATGTATGTTACGTATGTTGTGTATGTTGTGTATGCTATGTATGCTATGTATGTGATGTATGTTTTGTATCGTATGTACGTTATGTATGTTATGTATTTTATGTGTGTTATGTATGTGATGTATGTGATGTATGTAATGTATGTGATGTATGTAATGTATGTTGTGTATGTTATGTATGTGATGTATGTGATGTATGTTTTGTATGTTGTGTATGTTATGTATGTTATGTATGTTATGCATCTTATGTATGTTTTGTATGTTATGTAAGTAATGTATGTTATGTCATGTTATGCTATGTTATGTTCTGCATGTATGTATGCATGTGTATGTATGCATGTGTATATATATATACATGTATGTATGTATGTATGTATCTAGGTATCTATGTATCTATGTATCTATGTATCTATGTATCTATGTATTTATGTATCTATGTATCTATGTATCTATGTATCTATGTATCTATGTACGTATGTATGCATACATGCATACATGCATGCATGTATGGATGTATGCATGTATCTATCTATGTATGTATGCATGCATGCATGTGTGCATGCATGTATGTATGCATGCATGCATGCATGTACGTATGTATGCATGTATCTATCTGTGTATGTATGCATGCATGTATGTATGTATCTATGTATGTATGCATGCAGGTACGTATGTATGCATGCATGTATGTATCTATGTATGTATGTATGCATGCATGGATAAATGCATGTATGCATGTATGCATGCATGCATGGATGCATGCATGGATGGGTGGATGTATGGATGGATGCATGGATGCACGAACGTAAGGATGTATGGATGTATGGGTATGGTATGGTATGGTATGTATGTATGTATATATGTATGTATGTACGTAAGTATGTACGTATGTACGTATGTACGTATGTACGTATGTACTGTATGTATTGTATGTACTGTATGTACTGTATGTATTGCATGTATTGTATGTATTGTATGTATTGTATGTGTTGGATGTAATGTATGAATGGTATGAATGGTATGAATGGTATGAATTGTATGAATTGTATGTATGTATGTATGTATGCATGCATGCATGCATGCATGCATGCATGTATGTATGTATGTATCTGTGTATGTATGCATGCATTTATGTATGTATGCATGCATGCATGCATGTATGTATGTATGTATGTATCTATGGTCCCCCTTTGACTTAAGCAAAAGTGTTGGTGTGAGCAATTTTATAGTGATAAACCTGGAGCTGTTGACCCTCTGTTTGAAAATGGATCTGTAGAATCAGAGACCCCAAGGTATTTTCAAGTTGACAATCTCTATAGAATTGCTGTCATTGAGGTTGTTTATGAGCATCATTTTCTATAGAATAGCTGCTCACTCTCGTAGAGCCTTTTTTAGCTTGGGGGGGTTAGTTGGCCTTCTATAAAACCAGATGCCCCAACTCCTTCATCTGACAGCTGACCTGAATGCTCCAGTTGCTCTTGCCTAGCTTACCTCATGCATTCCCAAATTTATAGAGCTCTCTTGCTCCAAGTGTTCAGTGTCAACTCTTGAGCAGCATCAAAGATCAACTGATGAAACCCCGATGATGGATCTCCAAAAATCTCCAATATATTCCAATACATCCCAAAAGTTTCCAAAAATATGTCAAGATACCAAAATATACAAGGATGACCAAGGATGATCAAATAATAGGGCTCTGTGCACTTGCCGCATCTTTTTGTGCGCTAGACCTGAAGGTCATCTCAAACCTTTAGGCTTTCAGCCTACTTATGAAACTTCCACTGAAATGACATGACCAAAAGGCATGTCCTGTCAAAAGACCGTCCAAATTCGAAAGGCACGAATGTTATGGAACGGCTCTGCAGAGACCGCCAGTTTTCTCCAAAAGGCATGGAGTTTCTGGACGGCTCTTCCAGTTTTAGAAACCACCCCATAAAAAGAGGGGGGGAGAAGGAGGGCCAGTTTTGAGCCTATAAGCCCAAACATGACAAAAAAGACATGTCAATGCCCTCGCCCTAAACGTCGTGACGACAATCAAGGGCTCTGTGCACTTGCCGCATCTTTTTGTGCGCTAGACCTGAAGGTCATCTCAAACCTTTAGGCTCTCAGCCTACTTATGAAACTTCCACTGAAATGACATGACCAAAAGGCATGGCCTGTCAAAAGACCGTCCAAATTCGAAAGGCACGAATGTTATGGAACGGCTCTGCAGAGACCGCCAGTTTTCTCCAAAAGGCATGGAGTTTCTGGACGGCTCTTCCATGGGCCCTGTTACGGCCAAAAGGCTGTTGGGCTAGATTCATTTGCGAACTCCTGTATCCTGCTAAGATCTGTTTGTGGAATACGCAAGGATGGAAGTTGCGCGAGGCCATCCTGTAAATAGAGACGACCCACGCTGATCGATTTCCAGCGTCCACGTAATAATATTGCCTCCAGTGGAACCCCACATTGGAGGAGAAAAGTTGCTCCTCCTCGTCTAAGAGAATAAGGTTTATATTCGAAATGATGTACACGAAAGAATCTCAAATGACTGCGAAACATCTCACGAAAGCGCTGGGCTGTAAATGGCCAGATTGTCTATCCTGGAAAATGTCTTTGACACGTCCACAAAGCATCCAAAAGTTGTAAAGTAATTTGATCCCTCAAAGCTACAGCTTCTTTCGTTCCTGTACGAATACCAGATTTGCTTCCTGACAAAGAAAGGACACCACGTGTCAAATCAAATTCAATGTCACAAAACCGAAGGGATAATATTTCTCCTGTACGCAAGAGGGCGTGGAATCCCAAAGCAACTAAACAGGCAAATTGGAGGTCACCCAGTCGCACGGCACGGCAGACAATGCTGCGTACCAGCAACTGGGTAATAGGGGGAGCCCTCGATGGTGTCTCGACCCTTCTCCATTGCTTGAATAACCTCCAAGCTTCTCTGAGTCTGCCTCGAAGCTCCGGCCAGTAGAAATGGAGCCCTGACAATGCATCTGCAATGAAGTTAACGGACTCCCCACGCGCCCATTGAGCTTCGATCCATTCACAAATGGTATCATCCATACATTGAAGATTTTCTTGTTTTTCCAGATAGGGTACCAAACGTCCCACTGCAAGTTCATACCGCGCACGGGTTCTGGCTGTGATACTGAAGTCACGTAGCCTCAAACCAGCACGGTTGCGGCGTCGCTCGGCGGGAGTGCGACCTGCCAGCAACACCCTTCTAGGCTCAACCGGCATTAGCTCCTGGAAGCAGCATCGGTCGGGTTCTCTGCTGAACCCACATGTCCATGGAGCAGCTGGGCTCCCGCTGCTAATTGCAGAGCTCCAATTTGACGTGCAACAGGCTGCAGCAAGTGACTAGAGGTACGCCCCTTACTTTAAATAAGTAAGCATACCATACTATCCTCCAAGTGCAACCATCGTTTATTTAGGGATCGGCTCGAACGAACTTTCCACAGCAACGCATGAAGAATCATTTTCATCTCAAAGAAATTGATGTGTGACGGATGAATCCACTTTGTCTTAAATAAGTGTTTCCACTGCCACCACATAGCGCGAACAGAAACATGGGATTGTGGTTTCTTACCTAACACTTGCCCGGTAGAAACCCGTACATCCGCCCCAGTATGATTAACACTTTGGCCAAGATGCTGCACCAGTAGTTGACCGCTTGCTTCTTGGTCACCATCGCCTCCATAGGACAGCCACCTGGACATCGGCACCTCAATCGAGGGATGAGCACTCGCACCAGGAGCAAGACCAAGTCGAAGAATAATTTGCCTCGGAGACATTCGGGGTATCAGCTCTGAACAGAGCACGGCCCCCACGATTGCAAAGGAGGGGATGGAAAAAGAATCTCCCACAAGGCTTTTGCGTGTGTCCTCATATTCTTGGAGGCTTTTCTTCATCTGAGACGCGCTCATGCATGTGGTGGTGTGGCCGGGTCCAAAACCCATAAGTAGTTCACGTTCCGAGCTGTCCAGCAGCCTACCAGGCTGACCCGGACATCTTAATAAAAACTTATCAGCATACTGGTAAGGCGGGAACCTGAAATTGTCATGCTCCCACATGGCAACCATACTTGGCGTGGCCCTGCGTAAGCCGGCTGGTACTGGAGGGGGGTTTTTCCTCTTTATTGATTTCATAAAGGTGGGAAATTTAACTCCAGTATGGTTTCCATCCCAAGACCAACCGGGTCTTATCCACTGACTATTGTCCAAGCCGGGCCCGTCCACATAGGCCCTGACATAATCACCCTCAGTCCAGAGTGAGAGGCCTTCCATCTCATAAATTTCTTCAGAAATCCACGCCAAGCGGGGACGCGAGTATGGCAACGAATCTGCAGGGTCAAGCTTCACTGGTGCCACGTCAAGTTCTGCAGAGATTTGTTGCCTTGCCTGCTCGTCCATTGATGCTACGTTTTCCACACAAAATTTAACCTTACAGAAGCTCGAGAAAGTATCTTGGATCCAACCAAGTACTTCCAACAGCTTCCAAAACAAGTTTGAGCCCTCTCCTTGTAGGTTCATCCGATCAGACCTGACTGATGAAAGATGCACGCATGGGAAACCGGCCCATACGTGAACTTCAATCGCACGAGCATAGTCATTTGCCCAGCGTTGAATGTCGCCTCGCTCCAGGAGATTTATATCAGGATAAGCTTCCACATGGTCCCAAGTGCAGCGCGTGACCCTCACAGCTGCTTTTGAAATTTCCACCGCAATCTTCCCCAAAACTGAGACGCCCAATATATCGTAAACACGATAACTTCCACCTATCCCATTAAAAAATGAGATCACCAAAATGGGAAGCCGTATGGGATCGCGGTCGGCTCGCAGCCAGCGATGTACCAAGGAACGTCCCGACCAAGTAAGTGCCTCCGCAACTGCAACAGCTCCTCCTGTTTCTGATGCATCGCTGCAAGTGACCTGATCGTCATATTCCATTTCCAGATCCATCTGTAGTAAAGGGCTCAGGCACATCACTGTCCAAAGCTCTTCAAACAGGCACTGCCTCAGCTTCGGGCTGGGTTGCCATCCTTCCAAACTTTCCCAACATCTTGACAGGCAACCCATAGCTGCCCGGCGAAACTGTAGTATGAAAATCCATCGCCCCAGCACTATCTGAACTTCTCGCTTGTTCCAATTCTTTGTGGTGAGCACATGCAGTGTGGACAACACAGTCTTAAGAATTCGCTCGGGCGACGAGCCCAGCAATTTCTCAACTCCATCAAATCTGACCCCCAGCTCCGTCACTACGTTCGCGTTAATAACCTGCTTGTCTGCTGCCGACAAGATCCCTGCTTCGCTCCACGCTCTCAAAGATACTTCATGCATAGCTGCTGCTACCCCTGTAGGATGCTCGGGACTACACTCCCCAGACATAAAATTGTCCAAATATACTTGCCACCACGCACGGTCCGAAGTGGCCAAAGCAGCCGACTGGGTGAACCAGCGAGGTATCCCTTGTACACGTTGTACTTCCAGCTGAGGGTCCAGTCCCTTCATCAAAAGAACTTGCCTGGAAACTTGTTGCATGATTCCAACCGAGGATGCCCATCCCATTGGTAAAACTTTGCAGACGGGATGAAAAACTGTCCCAGCATCCTTTCCTATCTTGTCTCCTCTCACACTAAAATTAAAACAAAAATATGGTTCCCACGCATCAGGCATTCTAAAAAGATAGAATGCTGACTGCATATCGCTTTGTCCCATCCAAAACAAATCACCTGTCTCAGCGCAGATGGGAACCCAAGCAGTGGGCGAGGGAAGAAAACCAATATCTCCTCGAATCACATGAAAAATCCCATTAGTTGGGATAAAGTTCATGATAACTCTCAGTACTGGTTCGCCACTGCCAGTAAACCGCCCTGGTTTGATTACACCAAATAGACCGTTAAGGTATTTTCCTCTGCTATCTTCATATGCAACATCTGAGGGTACCCAGTCAGTGATCCCACGTTCGCATAGCAGCTGAAAAACCTGTAAAGCTTCTCCCTGTCTTACATGAACTCGTGCTTGACAAGGTGCACTGCCTCGCTCGCTTTCCGCAAGGAGAGATTCCAGCGGACGCTCCAAAAGAAGTCGAGTTTGGCCCGTCACAAAGGGCAGCAGTGGCACCGAAGCTCCATGACCTCGTGGGGGTAAACCCTGGGCTATCTGGGACACACTTAAAGGAAGGGGCATTGAGATTTCTTCTCCAGTATAACTGATCCTACGCTCTTTTAAGGTTGTCACCACTTGTTCAAAACTCAGGTCACATGGTGAATCCCCCTTCAAGAAACGGTGAATCTTATTCCGAAGATTCCCCAGCACAGCTTCATGTATTTTTCTGCCGCAACTCAGGTCAGGTGAGAATTGTACCCCATAGTAGGAGTTCAGAGCCGCGCAGCACGTCGCCAGCCAACATTCTGTGGCAAGCTCGGAAAAAGATATGTGGCTATGGTCTGAAAACGACCAGCCAGTGTCACTACGTATAGTTACAGGTATCACTACCGGCAGGGGAAACAGTCCGTTGGTTCTTCCTTTACGGCCAACCGACTGTGCAGGTCTAGCACGACTTTTGGGCATTGCCAAAAATTCAGCGAATAGTCCCCATGCCAGGTAAACACCAAATTCCTTCAAACCCGTGCAGCACTTTAATTTGTGGAGCCACTCTTCACGTGTAAGTGGGGCCTTCCCCCAATGTCAGCACGGCCAACGTTGCCAGCTGCCTCCTCCACGCTACTCTGTGTTACTCCAGCCTCCATCAACGTCTGTTCTGGGGCGCACGGAAAGGCTGACTTTGTGTCAGCCCCCCCAGCACCCAGCTCCTCAGATGGCTTCATTTCTGCAATTTCACCTATAGGGTCTCCTCGAGGAGTAGCCTCAACCACCTCCATCATGCGTCTCCTGCCTTGGGCTTCGCCTCGACCTCGTGCTTGTTCTCCATCGCGCCTTTGCCTTTTCCTTTCCCTTTGCCTTTCTTGCCTTTGCCCTTCACATCTTTGCCTTTTCCTTTGGGCGAGGCCTCGGTCTGCCAACTTGACCAGCCCCCCCCATAGCCTCGCGACCAACTTCCCTTTCCTCCTGCTTTCTCCACTTGGCGCTGGTGTTTCTGCGCCGATAGCAAGATATGCGCTGGCACTGGGCCTTCTTCGTCTGGCCCATAAATCTCCAAATGCTTCGCCGTGGCCCATCCCTGCCGAGTGGCAGTCTCTACTGCCAGCAGTCTCGCTGCTAACGTATCGGCTAGGTGGGCCAATCTTCCTTCTCGAAGCAAGTCGAGACACCTGGACAGCAAAGAGATTTCTCTGCAGTCCCTTGACTTGGTGTCCAGCCCCGGCTTCAGTGCCAGCTGGAAGTATGTGAAGATTTTTGGCCGCTTTCCATCTCCGCTTCCATCCATGTACTCTTCTTCCAAGACACCGTCTTGGGCCAACTGCTCTACTGCTTGATCCTCCAGCATCTTGAACACTGACCCTGGGCTCTTTTTCGCCCGCTTTTTCAACGGCGGCACAAGGCTGTCCGATGATTTTGAATCGCTCCTTGACCGACTCCGGCTCGATCGGGTCGATGAATCCGATTTTCTCCTCTTCTCTTTCGCCTGGATCTGCCCCGGCTCCTCGAACGACTTTTCCTCTTCTTCTCTTTTGAGTCTCTCTTCTCCTCTCGCTTCCTCCTTTCTGCAACTGCCTTCTCCAATCTGTCTTCCACAGTTTTGATCCTTTTCTTCTTTTTCTTCTTCTTGCTCTTCTCTTGGCTCTCCTCTGATACTGATATCAAGTCCATGTCCTCGGTCTTCACCTGAGATAGATCCTTCAGCTTCAAGGGCGCAGGTGTGGAGTTTGCCACAACTGGCCCAGTTCCACCCGGGCAAGTCGCCCGCGTGCCATCGCCCCTGAGTGCAGGAGGTCGCGCCGTGCCGTCCCCAGCGAAGGTGACTCTTCGCCCGGAGCGTTCTTTTAACTTCTGCAACCTCTCCTCCAATCTCGTGTCTGGGCCAGCAGGGGGCGCTTGCCTCGACTCGGCCTCCAACTCGGCCAGCGCGGCTTTGACACCCTCTGCAACGGCCTTCTTTGAAGCTGCACTCAACCATTTTTCTGCAAATTCCCCCGGGGGATGCCATGTGAACCGATCCAGATGAAGGCACTCGTCCAGAATAAAGGGACACTTCGTTGCCTCCCCATAGCAGAGATGTATTTTTGTCTTTCCTCGCTTGAAGTGATCTATGAAGGTCTTCTGAAACTCCTTCACTGAGCAGCCCAAACACTTGACCGTGAGCCAGATGCCGTTCTCTGTAGCTTCCTTTTCCTTGACCACGACAGCGCACTCTGCAGTGCTTGACTCCTCTATATAGCCTCCAGGGAATACGACGACAGAGCCAGCTGGCACATGCCAATGGCGCCAGAACTCGGCTTCTGCTAAATTGTATGTTGTGGCTACCATAGGTTTGGGCTGCCGTCGAAGGTTTTCTCGGATATCGTCGGGAGAAGGAAAATGCGGGGGTTCCCCCTCTTCGACTCCCTCCGTGGCAGGCGGTATAGGTGGAAATTCCATCTCTCCCACCTAAACGGGGGGTTGACACCCCCTTCAAATCCTTCTCTCGAGTCCTTCCCTGGCTGATGTTGCCAGGTCCAGGACGTTTCCCTTCAGACGTCTGTGACTGCGTCGGAAAGGTTCTGTGGCCTCTCTGTAGTGCCTCTGATGCTTTCGTCCTCCTCTCGTCCTCTTCTTCTTCTTGTGACTGCGTCTTGATGAATGATGCCCTGGTGGAGGGCCTGCAGGTTCAGCTGGTCGGCGCTGCCCTGCCTCCTGTTTCACCTCAACAGGTGCTTCCTCACGCGGAGGATCCTCTTCTCTTGCCTCTTCCTCGTCAGACTCCTCTGTGTATTCCTCCTCTTGTTCAGCCTCAGCGGGTGGTTGTGCCCTGACCTTTGGGTAAAGCTCTTGCGCCTTTATT